TTAGTTAAACTTTGTTGAGTTACTTTGATCCAATTCTCCTTATCTATTTTACATGAAAACTGAGGCCCACACAGGTTAAGTGATGCTTCCAAAATCACACTGGCGGCTAAAAAGCTCAGCAGAGAGAGGCCAAATCTCCTGACACTCAGAATCATTCTTTCCCACTACATCACAATATTTCATTTATAATTCATTGAATGGACACCTCTATTCTGGTTTTTTCATTCATGGTTACATGGGAAAAACATGTGCATGTGAAAAAATGCATAGCTTCTGATTCAGACAAACCTAGGGTCTGAATTTTCCGACAAATTACACTACTTTCCTTAGCATTAACCTACACTCTTAACCAAAGACTGGGCATCTGAGTTTGCACCTGTTTAGGCTTTATGCGCCTATCCAAGGATTTTGTAACAGATTCTATAAATACTACTCAGCTAATCTAACTGAAAAAAGGGAAGATAAAGAATGGCAGTACTGGGGCGCCTGGGTGGCTCAGTAGTTAAGCGTCTGCCTTCGGCTCAGGTCATGATCCCAGGGTCCTGGGATCGAGCCCCACATCGGGCTTCCCGCTTGGCGGGAAGCCTGCTTCTCCCTCTCCCACTCCCCCTGCTTGTGTTCCTTCTCTCGCTGTATCTCTCTCTGTCAAATAAATAAAGAAAATCTTAAAAAAGAAAAAAAAAAAAGAATAGCAGTACTAATACGAATTGATGACTTGTTAGAAAACACCTATGGCAAATAAGCTCTAGGGTTTATCCTACGAGGGTAATAAATCATCTAGTAAATTAAGGAGGTAATATATAATTTAAAAATCCAATTTAAAAGGATATTTTTCATGAGCTCTAACAGAGCCCTCAAATTTCTGTATCTATTTACATTTTCACATCTCTCCTAAATAATTCTGATAAACCTGATTCTCAAAAAGTGCCTTAAAGATGATATGATTATCTAAGCTTAAGGCATATAGATTCATTTCTCAGTTACGGCATTTCTGAGGTTGTTCACAAATATCCTACTAGTTAATAAGCTGAAAGGAAAAATATGCTAATTGCACTTTTTTCAGCCTTAAAATTCTTTTTGCAATTACATTTTAAAAATGCTGAATCATGAAATAAAGGAAACAGTGCAAGGAACCCAAATGAGAAGTTTGTCTCATACTTCAGGTTTCCTAATTATGGTATCTTGTCATTTTGGTCTTGTTAAGCATTTGGAACCAAGTAACTGAAGAGTCTGAGTGACTAGAAGAATACAGCTCATTCTCAGAAACTGAACTCGAGGATAAAACTAAAAGCATTTATTTCTGCAAGTTATTTTACACTTTCAACTTCCTGTTTTATTTAGGCAGCTCATCATGACCATTTCAGGTAATAATGTAGAAGTTCAAAAACCCAACTTCCTCTTTGTAAAGTGATAAAAACCCTAAGCAGTTACTTATGAGAATGGTTGATCTTACTAGCTTTTATGGAAGTACTTGCAAGGAAATCAGAGACTACCAACACCAAATTCACCTCTGGGTTCACTGCTTTTAGGAAATGCAACAAAGATAAAAAGCAATATTAAAATATATATGCATCATGACATAAATGCCTTAAAAAAACCCAAATCAAATGCAGTTGAGAATTTGGTTAAAAAGAGGATAAAATGGAAACTTTTTAGAGTTCCTTAAAGGAAGAATCAATACAAATTACAGCTGAAAATATCCTGATTTTAAAAATTTGTAATTGTGCCTTGGCTGTGAAAATTATATAGGACAAGAATCTCTCTTAAGGGTTGTTTATGAATGCTAAGACATTCATATCAACTAGTTTTGTTGGAAAAATACTTCAATTCCTGAATTCCTGAGTTAAAAGGAATTAGAAGTCTGGAGGAAAAGGGGGCAATGTAGCTATGAAGCTAAAGGAGAACTGAAGTAATCTTACAAGTCAAGGCCCTTTCTTTTTACTTACAGATTCACAACAGAGAAATACAGTTCAGTTTCTGTCTGGGAATAAGAATCTAACAAAATTTCAGTGATCTCAAATCATATGGATTATATGAGACTTCTTAATATCAGCTATTCGTAGTTATCCACAATAATGAAGATGTAGCTAATCTAAAACTGTTTACTGAATATGAAATTCATCAGCATTTTTGGACAGATTTACCGTACTAACTTTGACATGCTTGCTGTGTCATTATTAAAATTAAGCAACAAAAGAAGTATGCTGGGAAGTAAGAGGAAACTGGTCACAAATCTGTTATAAAATCAAGACTATTAACGTTACTAAACATTGTCAATATCCAAAGACATCTCAATTTGCACTTTTCTTTTGAAATACATGTATTATATTTTCCCAAGTTTAATTAAAAAGTCATTCTAACCTATTGTGAAAGACAAAAACCCAACAATACTAGTAAACATAGTATTGTTTGGACACCATAAACTTTGAAGTTTACTGTTATTTAAGTTTTTAGTGAAATTTTGTTGTAACAATATTTTTCCTTAAAACAAGTGGACCATCAGTTGAGCTAACAAATGTTTGGTTATTCCGATTTTTACTATAATTTAATTTCATCCGAATCAAAACTCTTTGACTTAGACTAGACATTTTATTACAGTCTTCTCTTCAGCATAAATTCATATATACAATGTCCTTTTCTCCCCTAAGTTTTACACATGAGAATTTTCAAGAATGAGAAAATTCGATGCTAAAGTATTATTCAATGACTTGTGTTTAGCACATTCTTCAGTATTTCAAAATGACAAGGTATATGTAAGTATGACATATCAAATTATTCTGTACCGAGTACTCCTGGATCATAAACAGTCCCTTGCGCCATCCCATTCTCTTTTATTAAAAAAAGAAAGAGCCCAGGGCGCCTGGGTGGCTCAGATGGTTAAGCGTCTGCCTTCGGCTCAGGTCATGATCCCAGGGTCCTGGGATCGAGTCCCACATCCGGCTCCCTGCTCAGCGGGAAGCCTGCTTCTCCCTCTCCCACTCCCCATGCTTGTGTTCCTGCTCTCGCTCTCTGTCAAATAAATAAATAAAATCTTTAAAAAAAAAAAAAAAAAGAAAGAAAGAAAGAGCCCAGACACATTTACAGAGCAAGAAAGACTGCACTTTTTGTTACAGCCACTGTGGGAAACAAAAGACATAATTCTTGTCCTACAACGAGTCATCTAGTGAAATCACTCTAATTTCTACAGGCCCTAAAATCAGGTAGTTACTGAAAAGCCTGACAAAGTGTTAAGAAAGGTGTGCAGCTGTCAGCAAAAAGTTATTCCACCTAACGTAGAATATGCTCTTGTATTTAAAACACATTTGAAGAAGTAAATAGGCAAATTACACACTGACAAATTTAACTATACTCAAATACACCACAGTGGAGCATCAAAGAAGGCACGATGTTTTGTCCAGACTTGAATGTGTTAATATGAAGTTTATGTGCTATATAAAAAACCTTTAGAGTTAAAAAAAAAAAAAATCCGCTGGCTATTCTTGATTTGTTAACAAGAAATAGAAAACTATTTTTCAAAAATTACCGTTAATAGGATGTAAGACGCAAGGGATGGAGTCATCGCGGGCTTATGTGCATACATACAATCAATCAAGGGAGTGTCTACGGGGAAGAGTGGTGTTCAAATTCTGAAGCAAATGTCCTGAGGCTTACACATTTATTACTGAGAATCAGTTCAGCCGATAGAAAAGAGTGGATGGGCGGACAACACATGGGGACCTCTCCCTGTCGAGGAGTCGTGACAGCAAAATCACTTCCTGAGGAAGGAGGAGCAAAAGGGAAGTTAAGAGGCCACCCTGACCAGGAAGTGACTCGCCCTAAACTAGCCTCAATCATATTTAAAAATGGGGGGATGGGGAGAGCCCCAACAGTTAAAGGCGGTAAAATAACTGCTTCTTGATACGTCGAGACATCACCATTGCCCCCTCTCTTAATTACAGAAAAAAGTCCACAGTCACGATTCAATAAAGGAAAGTCTCTTCTCTTGCACGAAGGTCACTGGGCTGTGCCTCAGGCCCAGGAGGAGAAAAAGAGAGTTGAGGAATGGGGAACTGGGGCCACCGTGAGGCAGACGAAAGCCCCTAAAGAGAGAAGCGTCCCAACTGCAGAGCGTATGTCAGCACAGGCCAAGGAGCTTCTTTTTCCTGGGGACACCGCCAGGGTTCCCACCGCTGCCAGGTCGGGCCCCTGTTCCCTGTCGCGAGAGGAGGCAAGAGAGAGAGGCGGACCCCTTACCTTCTCTTCATCCGACACCCGGTCCTCGAAGTCGGCCATCTTGGGCTGCTCTGGCCCAACCCGGCCCCGGCGCGAGGCAGGCCGGGAAGGAAGCTGAGCGATGGAATCACCGCGGGGGCCGTCGGAAGGACCCGCCCGGAAACGCCGACCTAGACGGCGCCATCTCAGTTACGGGCGGGGAGGTGGTTTCGAGCGTCGGCGCTCCGGGAAGTCTCAAACTCTGCCTTAAGCCTTTTCCTTAAATGATTTTAAGTCTAATCGCTTCCTCACTGAGTTACATTCATTTCCCCCATTCACCTGGGAGACGCTGGGAGCGTGTTTCGACTATTTCTGACACCCGAGCTCCATCCGACCAAATAGCAATTGCTACTGGAGGTTTTCCCAGTACCAGTGATCTCCGTGGCAACCCGGGTCCAAAGGGCTAAGTGCTGCTCGGGCCCTGGAACGGTCGGTGGCTTTTCCAACCCCAGGAATAGGGTGAGAGGTGACTCTCACACGTATGGAAGCAAAAACATTTCACTCCGAGATCACATCTCAGTCCAGTTCCTCCAAAATATGTGCCGCTAGTCACCCCTTCCCGCCCTTCAAAGGAAAGGCAACCCCAGTCCTGGGACTCTCCTCCACCTTCCAAATCTTCTTGGTCCGCTTTCCTTGGGACTCAGCCTTCACAGAGGCCAACTTCAGGTCCGCCACTATCCCAGGATTCCCGACTCCCGGTTTCCTGCCCTTCTCCCCTCCCAGCTCCCGGAGCCTGCGGGAGCGGCAAGATGGCGGACGGTGACGGCTTGGGTGAAGCAGCGAGTGCTGCGGCATCTCCTCCTGCACCTGCTCCCGGCCTGAGCCCGTCGCTGGGCTGGAGGGAGCGGCTGCGGGCCGGGCTGGCGGGGACTGGGGCCTCGCTGTGGTTCGTGGCGGGGCTGGGACTGCTTTACGCTCTGAGGGTCCCGCTGAGGCTGTGTGAGAATTTGGCTGCGGGTGAGAGGCCCAGACCTCCCTGGGGACGGGCGGGGGAGCTAGAAGAGGGGCCGGGGCCAAGGGGCAAAGGGTAGAGATTCTCCGCAGTCACTGGAGGGCTTTGGAGAATGAGTCGGTGGTGCGCGACCTAGTAGCAACTCCGCAGCTGATTGTCAAACCTGAGCCGCAGCTGTGGGCTCCTCCCTTGAGCTCTTAAGATCCGCCCTCTCTCTTCTGTCCTCGTTGACCCGAGGAAGAGCCACCTGACAAGCTGTAGGCTTCAGGTAGTATGACAGATGAGAGCATTTTCATATCGGTTGCAGAATTTATATACACTCCCAGCATTGGTAGGATCCCTTGAAAATCATTCTTTTGAGTCTTTCGCGGATTAGCTAGGAGTTCCCACACCCAGACAACAAAGATGAGCGCTTCTGCAAAGACCTAAAAGGAAAAAAATGCCATGACCTTAGCCAACTATTATCGTATTTTAAGATAGTTCTGTCAAGAAAGTTTTCGTGGTATCTTGGTCTGTTGTTTGCTTTAGGCTTTATCTTGAGTAATAAAACAGTACAGGAAGTAAAGGGAAAGAGCTACAAACAGTAATGGGTTCTTTCCTTACTTCTTTCAACATTTGTAGAAAGCTTGCTATATTAGTCTGAGCTGAAGATACAAAGACGTGTAAGAAGTGATGATCCCCGTGGATTCTGCAAATACTATCCTTTACCTGTAGCCAGGACAAAGTGGATGGGAGCCAGGGCCTCTTACCATGTCATTACAGTATTTCCACTCAAGCTCTGAACAAGATGAAAGTATTTCTGCTGTGTGATGACTGTGGCTATCAGTACCTGTGGTTTATTTTTCTGCAGCAAGAAAAGGCAAATGTCTCCTTTTCTACTTCATAAAATGACCTGAAATACTGTGAGATAATGTTCTGGAATATTTTGGACTTTTTAAAACATAGGTTCTATATAAGTTCAGATATAACTAACATACTAAAACAAACTAAATTGGCCTTCCTAGACTGTTTGAAAGAGCTAATTTGGTGTCTCTGTCACTGGTTAATGAAGTGCTTACTAGTGGTTTGCATGCTCAGTGAAATATTATTCATTGACTTTTATAATTTATTTTTCCACGTGTTAACTAGATCACCATTTAGATGAGAGTAGTTAACTATGATAGATTTTTATTTATTTCTGAAACCCGTAGTATTTATGAGACAGTTATTTGAAGTGAAAAATCTGGTCCAGGCTTTCAGTGAGTCAGGTTCACGGAGTTCTCTCAGTCTGTTGCTATTGTCTTTGGTTTATTTTGCCTCTCTATCTGACATACCAAATACATACACATACTCTAATTTGAAACACTGGTTTGTACCTCACCAAAATAATTAGGGAGTGGTTCTAAATCTCTTTTGTAACAGGATGTTTGTTTAGTTTATCCTTAGGGATTTGCAAAACTTCTTGTCAAAGTTATGGTTGATAGGTTCTTAATTTATTCTCAAAAGTAAACTGAATTATCTCATTTTGATTTGCTTATTTAACAAATTATCAGTTTAAAATGCTACCCTTACATGTTCAAAGGTAATTTTTAAGATATGATAGAATGGGAATTTAAAGTACCTTTTTAGGGGCGCCTGGGTGGCTCAGTCGTTAAGCGACTGCCTTCGGTTCAGGTCATGATCCCGGAGTCCTGGGATCGAGCCCCGCATCCAGCCCGTATTGGGCTCCCTGCTCAGCGGGAAGCCTGCTTCTCCCTCTCCCACTCCCCCTGCTTGTGTTCCCTCTCTCACTGTGTCTCTCTCTCTGTCAAATAAATTAAACAAATCTTTAAAAAAAAAAAAAACCTTTTTAAAAATTACAACTTTCTCAAATGAATCTCATACTAGATATTAAAACTATTTATGTTCCTCCACTCATAAAGATACCTGCATATTTGTAACTTGAGTATTTTGAATTTGCGTTTTTTTTAAACTTTGATTTTTTTTTTTCCCTTTTGCAGTGACAGTATTTTTAAATTCATTGACACCCAAATTCTACGTGGCACTTACAGGAACATCTTCTTTGATATCAGGACTAATATTTGTAAGTAGTTTCCATTTCCTTCATGGTTTGGTATTTATCTAAAGATCAAATATCTTTATGGTTACAATAATTATAAATACTTATAGATCAGCATTCTCAACATATTTCAGAATTTGAAAAAACACTGCATCTTCCTCTCCACTTTTAGAGACTGGCAGTATTCATTTGTATATGAAAGACTATTGTATAATGGAAGGGGCAGGGGTTGGTGGTGGGTTCCCAACTAAATGCTTGCAGGGCCCAATTTAGTAACAAAAATGAATGAAATAGGGGCACCTGGGTGGCTCAGTTGGTTAAGCGACTGCCTTTGGCTCAGGTCATGATCCTGGGGTCCCGGGATCGAGTCCCGCATCGGGCTCCCTGCTCGGCAGGGAGTCTGCTTCTCCCTCTGACCCTCCCCCTTCTCATGTACTCGCTCTCTCTCATTCTCTCTCTCTCTCAAATAAAAATAAATAAATCTTTAAAAAAAAATGAATGAAATAGAGTGTAAAAATTAAGTTCCTTATTTACTTTTAGGACTGGGTAATCTGGACAATGCATGCTGCTTCTGGAAGGGGATAAAGCTAGTTGTTGCCATATAGATTTGCAGACCACTATAATGAGATCTTCCAATTTTTCATATGATTTTGAAAGAATCTGGATGCAACAAGTTTTTATATAAAAGTCTCCCAATACTTTAATCTTGGCAACATCGGGCAAACTAAAAATTGTGTCTTGAATTCAGCCTATAGGTTGCCAATTATCTTCTCTGGAGTATTTAAGAGCAGAGTATTGGAGCCAAGCTAACCATCCCTTTATTTATTTTTTGTCAGAAGAAAATTTTTAATTGAAGTATAGCTGACATACAATATTATATTAGTTTTCAGAACCATCACTTTAGTTGTGTGACTTTGAGCAAGTTAATTAACTTTTCTAAGCTTTAATTTCCTCATCTATAAACTGGGGATGATAATATCAACTTCCTAGGATTATGAAAACTAAATGAGATAATGTGTCTAAGAGCTTTCAATAACGTGGTAGCTAGCCCAGAGTGAGCACTTAATGAATTTTGGGCCATTATTATTCTGAGATGTCTTAACTTTCATTCAGCTTTCCCTTGTCTTAATTGGCTGAACTATCATTTTCAATTAAGAAATTTAGAAATATATATACATAATCTCTATTAACATCCCTGGGAACTAGTGTTTCCTAGTATAAACTTTGGAAAAATACTGCTACAGATAAAAATCTTAGGAAGTATGGCATACATGACCAGTGAATTTTTCTGTGCTTTTTTTCTCATCTCTAGATGGTGCTCTTCTATTATAGTAGAAATAATGGCATTTGTATTGGAGTGTTTTTTGTTTCTGTTTTTTTTTTTTTAATAGGGACTAATACTTGGCCATTTTGTTAAAGTGAAATGCTAGACAAGAAAGGGATTTTCTCTTGATCAAAAAAAAAAAAATACTGAGGAATTTAAGATGAAATCTATGTGTTAGTATAGTTAAATTAGTTAAAATTTTCTGCTTATAAAGCCCACTCATAGTTAAGCATATTTTAGCATATTTAGTCAATAACATGTAAAAATCTAAATAAAGAGAATGATCTATCTCTAAACAACTGACGAGTGGAAAAAGCATTAGTCTTGGAACCAGAAGATGTAGTTTTGAGTCTCAACTCTGCCACTTAATAGCTGATAACTTTGGGCAACTCACATAATTCTCTGAGTCTTAATTTCCTCATTTATAAGGGCGGAAAAGCTTACATATACATTATAGATGTATAAAACATAACATGTATAATATATAAAACAGTTCTTAACATTTGTTCTTCTTTTTTAAACCAGAGTTTTAAATTTACAAAAATTAAGAAATTCATACTGTAATAGCATCATATGGTGATGGTACACTTGTGGTGAGCAAAGCATAATGTGTAGAGAAGTCAGATCACTATATTATACACCTGAAACTATTGTAACATTGTGGATCAACTATACTCAAATAAAAAAACTTTTTTAAGTAAATGAATTAGGCTCAGTAAGAGATTAACAACAGTAGATAATAATAAAATAGAGTGGTTATAACAATATACAATAAGAAAATTAGGAAATTCAAGTAACATTTTAAAGGTTAAACTGTGTCATGACCCTTATAATATTGATGAGTTTTTATTAGCAAAGGTTATTATGTTTATAATTTCTTTTACCCCCTGAAATACTGAAGCTATCTATGCTGTTTGTGTTACTTCCATCTGAAGGGGTAGGAGCTAGCGTGCTTGGGAGCTTGAAGAATAACAATGAAGCCAGTTGTTTAGCTAATTATTACAAGTGAAAAGATTACTCTGAAAGGAAAATGCAAGATCCATTGGGAGTGCATATAATACTCTTTTCTGTTCTGTGGAATCAGGGAAAGTTCCCTGAGGACCTGTCATTTAAGCTGAAACCTGAAAGAGCCAGGTAAAGGTAGTTGAGAATGCTAGAGTGTCCAAATATGAAACATTCTTCTAATTCAACACAGAGAGCTTTTTTTTTTTTTTTTTTTTAAGTAATCTCTAGCCCAACATGGGGCTTGAACTTACAACCTGGAGATAAAGAGTTGCATGCTCTGCTGACTGAGCCAGCCAGGCGCTCCCACAGAGCTTCTTTTGATTCCTCTTTTTATAACAGTGATAGATCTTGAAAACATAAAAGAGTGAATATCCTGATTTTTAAATGGTTCAATAGGAGAATCAGCCTCTTATCCTACATTAATTATACTGCCAAATACTGGAGTAGTACTTCATTGTTCAAAAGGCATTTACAATTCTTGTTAACCATATTTAATAGATAGGACATTGAGGCTCTGAGAGGCTAGAGGTTAAGTGACTTACCCAGAGCACACAGGTGGACTGGGAGTCAAATGTGGGCTTTCTAGCCCTAGTCTTAATCCACCATGCTAGTTATTTCAAAATTGTTTTTCTTTTAATTATGCTACAGATGGAGTAAAATGACAATGTAACGTAACAGAGTTAGATTATTTACAGATTAAATGCTTCTTGCTGGTTTGTTTGTTTGTTTTAAGTAATCTCTACACCCAACATGGAGCTCAAACTCACAACCCAGAGACCCAAGAGTCACATGCCCTACCGACTGAGCCAGCTAGGCACCCTTGTTTCTTGTTGTTTTTTTTAATATTTCATTTACAGATATATTTCTTCTAGTTTTGCCTCAGCTTGTCTAAATTTCATAACAAAGCTATAAAAAGGGTATTTTATTTTTGCCTGGCTATTGGGGAATCTTATGTTTGGCTTATTTTTGGGGAGGAGAGGACATTTAAAATTAAATTAAATGGGAACATCGTGAAAGAATGTTTTAATTTGAGCTCATATGTCTGCTGATCAGTTCTATTTTAAGTCAAGGATTTTTTGTTTGTTTGTCATAGATATTTGAATGGTGGTACTTCCATAAGCACGGCACATCTTTTATTGAACAAGTATCTGTGAGCCATTTGCGACCACTGATGGGAGGAACAGAAAGCAGCATTTCAGAGCCAGGTTCTCCTTCTAGCAACAGAGAAAGTGAAACCAGCAGACAGAATTTGTCAGGTGACTATTTATGTAAAAAGTTTTCAGAGCTGTATAGTTAAGATTGTGTTTGTCTCTGGGAGAGAGAAAACTCATAACAGAGAGAAGTTTGTCTTTCATGTAAATATAGGTAATCTGCAGCTGATACGGAGAGCAATGATCATCAGAGACCCAGTCTCCCATTTTGTTAGCCTGCCATCTCTAAGTGAAGTTTTTCCTTGTGGTCCAAGACAGTTGCTCTCGTTTATGCTATCATACCCACATTCTAATCAGCAGGAAGGAGACTAGGCCAGTAGAAGGCCACCCTTTCCCCCTACTCAATCCCACAGCAGCCAAGGATACTTCTCGGAGTGTTACATACTATTTCAGCTTACTTCCTACTGGTCAGACCTCTGCCAAATGGCCACAAGTAGCTATAAGGGAAGCTAGAAATTGTAACCATTTTCTTAGCATACATATGCTCAGCTAGTAATTAGGAGATCTTCTTAGATAAAGGAGAGAACAGAGACAATTAGCCGTTTCTGCGAACATAGCAAAGTTAGGAAAAATACTTTTTCTTCTCAATATATTTACAAAGTCATCAAAATCTTAGTTATTCATGTATAAATAATCCATTGTCATACTTTAATTGTAGGCTGTTCCTCCATATGAATCCAGTAATACAAAGTAAATATTATTAATGATATTCAATTAGGAAAGTAAAAATTTGAAGGCCAGATAGAAATGATATTTTTGGATTATTGTCCCTTTAATTTTATATCAGTAAAATTCATACAGTGATAATACAAATGACCTAATTCCATAGAGTGCCATAAAGTCTCATTTGTTCAGTAAACCTAACTACTAGAGTTGTATTAGTTTAGTAGAAAAATACTGCCACTTTTTAGATGTGGTCAGGGAAAGTCTCTGAGAGAGTGCCATTTAAGCTGAGCCCTGAAGCATGAATGGTATTGACCAGGAATAGTAGGGATGGGATTGGCAACCATTTAAGAGTACAGGAAGGAATAATGGTATTTTTCTTTCCCCTTTTCTTTTCTCCTCTTTCATAAAATAATTACAGAACTCCTAAGAATGAGACATATTAAGATGAATATGACATAGATCTGTCCGCAAGAAGCTGAGTCCAGTATGTAAATAATTATGACAATAATGCATTATGTAATCTTATTCCATGTTGTGAGATTGAGTATATCATTGCATACAGAGAGCGAAGACACTCCCTACCCTGCACTCTAGCCCAGCTATACTGTGCGGCTTTTATGATCCTTCCTCTCCTTAGAATGTTCTTAATCTGGCAACCTTCTACTCATCTTTTACCATGATTCAATGTCAGTTCAAATGTTACCTCCTTTCTAAAGCCTTTTCTAATTTCCCCAGAGAAAAATTAATCACTTTCTTTTTTTCTTCTCTTGGAACAAAAGTATCTCTACTATAGCACTTATCACACAGTTTAGATGGTAGTTTACGTGACTGACTCTCATGTGACATTTCATTCATTTAAACAAGTCAATTCCAAATGCTGTGTTAGGCTCCAAGAATACAAAAATGAACAAAGTTGTAAAAGCTCATATTCTAAAGGGAGAAACTGAAAACCAAATGGATAATCACATTGTAATATGTTAAGTGAAGTGCTATAATTGAATTATGAACTAAATGCTATAGAGATAAAAATAGGAGAATGACTAGATTTAATTGTATGCTGCGTGACAGCAGGGGTGGTCCGGGCCTTATTCATCTTTGTGCAGTCTGGCCAGCACTGTGCATAGCATACAGTGACTATACAATGAATGTTGTATAGTATTTTTCTATACTGCAGTTGATTTAACTGCAGTTGATTAAGCTAATTCATTTCCCTTTTTCCTCCCCTTTGTTTTTTAGAATGCAAGGTATGGAGAAACCCTCTAAATCTTTTCCGAGGAGCAGAATATAGGAGGTATTACATTTTGCTTTCAGTATAATTATAGCATTAGTTTGAGAGTAGAAGTATTACGGAAACATTTGTTTTTATAAACACATCACAGCTCTTCTAGTTGGAGACACTGATGTATATAATAAGGGAAAATGATTAGCCCAAGCTTTAATTGGCAGCATCTTCACTGTATTTACTTCAATAATCATGAGAAACATTGCTTCAAACCATATGTTTGTGATAATAGTAAGTATACATTTGGCTCCTGGTTTTGGCAAAAAGCCTTTTCAGAGAATTCATGAGATTAAGAAAAGAAGTACAAATGTCAACATATGGTTTTACATATATGCTCAATTCCAAAATTTGAGGACTCACTAGAAAATATCAATTTGAACGTTGAATATGAACTTCATTTGTGCAACAGTACAGGGTATAGTATTTTTTTTTTTTTTTTTTTGAAAGAGAGAGCACACGCGCATGTGTGGGGAGGAGCAGAGGCAGAGGGAAGAGAGACTCTCAAGCGAACTCCCCCAACATGGGGCTTAATCTCATGACCCGAGCTGAAATCAAGAGTTGGTCGCTCAACCAACTGAGCCACCCAGGCGCCCCTTGTATTTTATATTTCTATTTGCTATCCACACTACTGTGTCCATTTCTCTTCTGGTTTTAACTCTAGATGAGAAAACAGCTTTTGACACTTAAACCCAAAGATACCTTGTTTTAATAAGAATTGTGTTTTACCTGGAGGTAGACTGGGGCATGTTATTTAATTCATTGAACAAGAAACATTAGGTGTCTACTATGTATGGCCACTGTGCAAAATGATGGGGATACAGAGTGACTGAGCAATAATCCCTGTGCTTAAAGACTTGATAGTGTAGGATAGTAGTATCCTGGGAAGGGAAAGCTAGGTTTTTATGAGTGATGCCTTTAGTCTTTTTTTTTTTTTTTTAAGATTTTTTATTTATTTATCTGTCAGAGAGACAGCGAGAGAGGAAACACAAGCAGGGGGAGTGGGAGAGGGAGAAGCAGGCTTCCCGCTGAGCAGGGAGCCCAATGCGGGGCTCGATCCCATGACCCTGGGATCATGACCTGAGCCGAAGGCAGACGCTTAACGACTGAGCCACCCAGGCGCCCCGCCTTTAGTCTTTATTAAGGGATTCTGCAAGAAACAAGTCCTTGAACTTCTCAGTCCATTTGTTGAAATAAAAAGATTTTAGGCTATTTCTTTTTTTTTTTTTTAAAGATTTATTTATTTGAGAGAGAGAATGACATAGAGACAGAGAGAGCATGAGAGGGGGGAGCGTCAGAGGGAGAAGCAGACTCCCCGCCGAGCAGGGAGCCTGATGCGGGACTCGATCCAGGGACTCCAGGATCATGACCTGAGCCGAAGGCAGTCGCTTAACTGACTGAGCCACTCAGGCGCCCTATTTCTTATTGTTTTACAGTGTTCACAAAGATATAAAAAAGTAAATTTCCTATCTTGTTATCAGGAACACTTATACTTCTTTTTGAATGATTAGTTTCTCTTAATGTAAAAGTCTCAATTGCATTGATAATCATTGTGTGGTTTTAGAAAGCTTAAAGTCCTATTGTAGTCAGCGTTTAGTAAGTGTGCAGAACTCTGATATGTATTTCATATGTTAGATTCATTCCTGGCTCCACTGTATGTTCAAATTTTTGCTTTTACTGAGTCTTTTTTATTTGCTTCTAATTAAGGTCATTAATATTGTACATTATATATTTTTAACTCCTTTAAATCATTTTGGGAATAATGTAGATCGTTAATAAGTAGTCTTTTTACAAGTTTAGAATATGTAGCAAAACTTTGCTAGTTGAACAAGGATCTACTTTTTTTTTTTTTTTTAAGATTTATTTATTTGACAGCGAGAGAGGGAACACAGCAGGGGGAGCAGGAGAGGGAGAAGCAGGCTTCCCGCTGAGCAGGAAGCCCAATGCGGGGCTCGATCCCAGGACCCTGGGACCATGACTTGAGCTGAAGGCAGATGTGTAAGGACTGAGCCACCCAGGCGCCCCTACTTTTTTTTTTCTTTACGATAATTTCTCACAAAATAGCTTAAAAACTTTAAATAGCAATGCAACTTGGACTATTACTTAAAATCTTTTATCATGTACATTTAAATAATACTTATAATGTGCTTTTAAAATACCTTTTTTTGGATTTTAAAATGTATGTATAGTCACTGTAGAAAATTGGAAAAATGAAGAGATGTATCAAAAGGAAAGTAAAAAAAAAAAAAGTAAAAATCACCTTTTCCTACCACTAAGTGAAAACTGCTATTAGTATTTCCATCCAGTCTCTCTTCTGTATGCATATATAGAAACAAAACTTGGGCATCGTTATGTGTATATAATTTTACATCCTTTTTTTCTAACACAGTGTATGAATTTTCCACAGAATTTCTTTATATATGAATTGCTTTTTTTTTTTTTTTTTTTTTTTAAGAGGGGGAAGCAGAGGGGCAAAGGGAGAGGGAGAGAGAGAATCTTAAGCGGATGCTCCACTGGGTGTGGAGCCTGACAAGGGACTTTTTCCCAGGACCCTGAAATCATGACCTGAGCTGAAATCAAGAGTCAGACGCTTAAAGCCGACTGAGCCACCCAAGTGCCCCTTCGTACATGAATTTCTTCAAAAACATGGTTTTTAATGATTGTACTCTATTCTGTTGTATGGAGGTACCTTACCTTACCTATTGCTCCCCTATCGGGGTCACAGATTATGTTTCACAGTCAACATTTACACTAGAGGGGTATCTTTATATATAAATATTTAGCATATGATATTAAACATCTGTGATTATTTCCTTAGGGCTGATTTGTAGCACTAAGATTCTGGAATTAAAGGGTTGAACAGTTTTTCCTCTCTCCCTGTTACTATTTTCTTTTTTTATTTATGGAGATTTTCAAAAATTAAAAAGTAGAGAGAATAGCATAGTAGAATTCCACACACCCATCCCCTAGCTAGATGTGAATATTTTTAAGACTCCTAATAGATATTACCTAATTGATTTTTGGAAAGAGAAATGTAAATGCCAATTTACACTTATACCAGCAGTATGTGTGAGTCCATATTCCACCTCATCCTCAGCAACATATATTTGCCATTTGACAGATGAAAAGTAAAAATTTGTTAATTTAATTCACTCTGTTAATTACTGAGATTGGACCTTTAAAAATGTATTTATTAGCCAGTTTTTTTTTTTTTTTAAGATTTTATTTATTTATTTGGCAGAGAGAGAGATAGCGAGAGCAGGAACACAAGCAAGGGGGAGTGGGAGAGGGAGAAGCAGGCTTCCTGCTGAGCAGGGAGCCCAGTGTGGGGCTCGATCCCAGGACCCTGGGATCATGACCAGAGCTGAAGGCAGACACTTAACGACTGAGCCACCCAGGCGCCCCTATTAGCCAGTTTGTTAACTTGCTATTAATTGTTGTGGGTTTCAGGGGCTATGAAAGTTTAAATTTCTAATTTAGTAAAATCTGGAAAAAGTTTCTATTTGCTGTCTGCTTTGAAAGCCCTTTACCATTTTGACATCTAGTAAAAGGCCACCTATGTTTTCTTCTAGCTTCTTTGTAGTTTTACTTTTAATAATTCTAATTCACTGAGAATTTAAGTATATTTAATAAGGTATGTATCTAAGTCAAATTGTTTTATCCCCTCATCTAATTTAGAAGCACTAATAATCTGGCCTTTTCCCTTTTGATTTTTGATGTTTTATTGTCATACTCTAAGTAGTTTGTATTGTTATCTCTTGTTTTTCTGATAATAAGCTTTTAAAACATCCTGAAATAGAAGTTGTAGCAGTATATTTTTGCATTTTAAATAGTTTCTGTTGTAGTAGGTAAAGGTTCTCTCATGTTCAATTTACATATTTTCTTGTGTTTTGGTAAAGATACACTTGGGTGACTGGTAAAGAGCCACTTACATACTATGACATGAATTTGTCAGCTCAGGACCATCAGACGTTTTTCACCTGTGACACAGACTTTTTACGTCCTTCAGACACAGGTATGTGTCATATCTGTTCATGGGGTAAACAGTGGTGATGAAAATTATTTTAAAAAGTCTTTAGAGTTACTTATTATAATATACAAAGTTATTTGGCTTGAGGTTGTTTTGCATTATGGATAAGAGACCCAGATAAAATTGAAACTAAGTATGAATGTAAACTAGGTTGTTACACTACCTACCCTTATAAAGAATTTAAAGTATTTTATAAAAATGTAAAATTACTTCTTTTATTACTTAAAAAACCTTTCAGATCAAATACAGCAACTGTTCATGCAGAGAACAGTATACCCAGTTTGGTCTGGGGAATTAACATGTGCAATTATACATAAGAGTAAGGCAAAGTGTAAACCCAGGCATGGCATGTAGATTAAAATGGAGTATACTTTATCTCAGTCATAAATTAGAGGTGCATGGAAAGTGGTGGAAGATCATAGAAATGTCTGTGTTTAGGTCTAAATCTTCTCTATGGAAGATAGTATTGAGACTCTTAAATACATGGTTAAAGACAGAGAGATCTTTATCACTATTCTTTTACTTTGAATGCCCTCTCCTTTCGTATCTATCCTCCCACTTTTATGCTTCCTGCTTTTATCCTTCAAGATCCAAATTAAAAGTCACATTCTCTAGGAACCCTTCTCTGGGAACTCCAGAGTTAAACTCTTTCTTCTCTGCAGTTCTACAGTACTTAGTCCAAGCCTCACTGAAACCATTCTAGTTAATTTATTCAACCACAAACATTTACTTGTTAATTTTATCATGTTGTTTTATTTTATTTTTTTATTATGTTATGTTAATCACCATACATTACATCATTAGTTTTTTTTTTTTAAGATTTTATTTATTTATTTGACAGAGACACAGGGAGAGAGGGAACACAAGCAGAGGGAATGGGAGAGGGAGAAGCAGGCTTCCCGCTGAGCAGGGAGCCCGATGTGGGGCTCCATCTCAGGACCCTGGGATCATGACCTGAGCCGAAGGCAGACACTTAACAACTGAGCCACCCAGGCGCCCCACGTCATTAGTTTTTGATGTAGTGTTCCATGATTCATTGTTTGCGTATAACACCCAGTGCTCCATTCATGTTGTTTTAATGTTTATCTTCCCTAATAGAGTGGGAAACTTTGGAAAGCAGGGACTATATTCTCATCATCTTTGAATCTTTATCATCTAGCACATTGTCTGGCATACTGTAAATATTAATATTTATTCTTTGATGAAAGTATCTATGAATGACCTTGGTGTCACAGATGTCTTAAGCAGTTTCACTAATAATAGCTAACACTTGTATAGCACTTATTATGCACCAAGCACTGTTCCAAGCAATTTATATAAATGTACTGATTTAATATTCCCAATCATTTTATGAGATAGGTACTTTTATCAGCCTCAGAAATAAAGGAATGGAAAAAAGGAAGGAAAGAAAGAAGGCAGGCAGGCAGGAAAAGGAAAATCAAGTAATATGCCAAGTAATCTAGGTAATAAATGATAAAGCTGGATTTCAAGTTCAGGTCTGACTCTTAACCACTATACTACTACTGCTTCTACTCACCATAGTGATAGGCAAAAGAAAATCACCACTAGGGGTCTGAAAAATAGCCAGTTTTCCAGCATTGAAGTGAATTCTTTGTGATCTATATCTGTTGGACTAAATATACTAAGGGTGGATGATAGCAGGAAATCCAAGGATCTTTGGAATGGTTACATAAATGGGTTTAATTGCAAATAGAAAAAGGAATTGCTTTATTTTTACATGCTTAATGTTTATATTAATGGCAAAAGTGTTGGGTTGGGGAAATAACAGAAATAGAAATTAGTATGTCATGTTAACTTTAAGAACTAAAGTTGACTCTAAAAGTAACTCTAGAAATTAAGGCTTTTCCTCCTTGTCACAAGCGGAATTGCAGACATTGGCGGGCTTTTCAAGTAGCAACCATGGCTATCCACTAAAGCTGTGCTCTTAAAACATTTTTGTTCACTTATCTCCTAAAGGATTTTGAAAAACTATGTATCCTTTCAAACATTTTTAACTTGATATCGTAAGATTAAATAATTGCAAAGAATATGATTTTTAGCATATTAAAGACAGTTGAAAATAAAACTAGAATACCCTATATTTGAATGTATCTCAAGAAATCTAATGACTTGATACCCACCATTATCCATTGAAAAAGACATTGATGAATACTCTTTAGCAGTAGTAAATTTTATGTAAGTCCTTTTGCTTCTTGAACTCACCCATTTCATACGTCTATATTATTTTATTATAATTATTATATACTTGAGAGTCTTATCACATATGCTTTTCCACAGTAAAATTTTTTGTGTAAGTTTTTAAAAATTTTAATTTCCTTTTATCATAAGGTTCTAAATGGTATCATGTACTTTAGTTATATATATATATATTTTAAAGATTTTATTTATTTATTTATTTATTAGAGAGCGAGCGAGAGAGAAACAGCATGAGAGAGGAGAGGGTCAGAGGGAGAAGCAGGCTCCCCGCTGAGCCGGGAGCCCGATGTGGGACTCGATCCCAGGACCCTGGGATCATGACCTGAGCCGAAGGCAGTCACTTAACCAACTGAGCCACCTAGGCGCCCTACTTTAGTTATATTTTTGTCAAATCCTTGGAGCTACATATTTGGTATTTTCAGCTTTAGAAAATGTTCTCCATATAACCTTGTTGGCCGGGTGAGTTCTCATTGTCAATTCTATCAACCAAATCAGACCGACTTTCTGAAAGAAAAGTCTGACTTCATTTTAAGTCAAATAAACATGTTAACATGCATCTCTGTGACAACCATTTCTCTTCAGAATTTAGATTCTAAGAAAGAGATAATTCTTGGAGCTTTGCCTAGAGCCTATCACTTGGCCAAAATAAGATTCCACCGCCTTTATTATCCTTTTTTTTTTTTTTAAAGATTTTATTTATTTATTTGACAGAGAGAGAGAACAAGTAGGCAGATAGGCAGGCAGAGGGAGAGGGAGAAGCAGGCTCCCCACTGAGCAGGGAGCCGGATGCAGGGTTTGATCCCAGGACCCTGGGATCATGACCTGAGCTGAAGGCAGCTGCTTAACCAGCTGAGCCATCCAGGTGCCCCTATTATCCTTTACTAGTGCCCCCTTTGCCTTGCTGTGAGGGGACCTTCCCTTAGTAGCAACACATTCTTTGACAGTAAGGGGCTAGGGGTGCTGATAAGTGGAACTGATGAAAATTGTTATCACTCCCTCCCCTACAACATACTTGCATTCAGAGTATCCAGGGGCTAGAATACTCTTATTTCTAAAGCCAAGCTTCACTGTTAAGTAAAAGCAATTCCTGTTGTAGGTGCCTTGACAAAAAAATGGCTTTCCCAAAACCCAAACTTTGAATTGTCCTTTGGGCACTTGGAGATTTTTATACTTTAGGGATTGCACCTTAGAAAGATTCAGGAGGGGCGAGAAGTAAGAGTTTTTTCTGTAAAGTAGAAGAAGGGAATATATCTTTTGGGGAGTGGGGAAGCAGATATTGGGTAGGAAAGGGAAACCAGCATGATGCATAGATCAATCAGAGGAACATTCTTCAAGTAGATCAGTTCTAGGAAAGAGTCATATAATGTTGAGACTTTATAAATTGGTTTTCTTAAAACCACACATGCTGTTTTGGTCCTTGCAACGTTTCGTGTACTTCTAGAGGTTAGAGGTATGCATAATCCCATGTAAATACCGAGCTCAAGGACAGACTCCATCTGTGAATTGATCCATTTTGATCTTTTCAGACACTCACATAAAGGTAATGATTTATATCTGTAGTTTTATATTAAAAAATGTATACATATGTGTGATATTACAAATTTCTCTTGATGAATTGTCATCAGTTACTAAGTTAGTAGATTCTCTTCTCATCTTATTCATTTATTTATTTAAGGCAGAAAACAAACATATCTTCAGGACCAGCCAGCAGTATTCTTTTTTCGTTGTTTTTTTTTTTTTTAAGATTTTATTTTTAAGTAATCTTTATACCCAACGTGGCGCTCAAACTCACAACCCTGAGATCAAGAGTTTCATGCTCTACCAACTGAGCCATACAGGTGCCCCTGGTCAGCAGTGTTTTTGGAATAATTTGTTTTCATGGTATTTTCTCTTCAACACTTAAGAATCAGGAGATTTAACATTTGAACCCAGATTTACGCTTTTTAGAAGTTGGAAAATATGGCAAAACTGGACCTGTAAGTCCACCTTGTAATAATCAATTAGACCCAAGCTGTGACTCTCTCCTTTAGACAGTGTACATGCTTTTAGTTTACACATCTATGTTTTCTGCTTGGTCTTTGTAGGCATCTACATTTACAACCTCTGATCTTGGGATTGACTATTCTCTTTTCTGCTTGATAGCATATTGGAATATTATTTAACTTAAAAAAATAGATAAATTTGATTGAATTGCTGATTGCTTGTGTTGTTTTTTAAGAATATCAAGAGCTCTTAAAGAGGACAGTTGAGCAGCTCTTTCTACCCATGGGTCCTGTCCCTGTGCTTTAATAAAACCACCTTTTTGCATTAAAAAAAAAAAAAGAGGACAGTTAAATACTAAATCAGCATTTTCCTTTTAATTATTCCTAAGCCTTGTTTTAGAAAGAAATACAAATTTTTCTTCTTGTACTTTTTTTTTTTTTAAGATTTTATTTATTTGCGCGAGAGAGAATGAGAAACAGAGAGCAGGAGAGGGAGGAGGGTCAGAGGGAGAAGCAGACTCCCTGCCCAGCAGGGAGCCTGACGTGGGACTCGATCCCGGGACTCCAGGATCATGACCTGAGCCGAAGGCAGTCGCTTAACCAACTGAGCCACCCAGGCGCCCTCTTCTTGTACTTTATTTCCCGTTTCCCCTTTGACTTGGAACTGAATAAGTTGTGAGGATTAATCTTGAAAGTCTGGATAGAGCAGTTGAAAACTTAAGAATATGAATAAGAAAAAATGCTTAAAGGTGGATCAGATGACCTTAGTAAAAAAGAAAGAAGTGTAAAGAAGATGAGATCGTTTCCATGTATTAAATTAGCAAAGATTGATACTACTCAGTGTTGCTAAGTAGGGAAACAGTTTCTCTGTTTCTATCCTCCACTCTCCTCCACTGCCTGGAAGAATGTAAATTAATACAATCTTATTGAGAAGAGTTTGCGAGTTTATATCCAAAATCTTTTAAAAGATGCATACATTTTAATCAACCATTCCACTTCCAGAAAGGAAATATTGGGTCAGGCATGCAAAGGTAGATGTTGAAAGATGGTTATTACAACATTTCTATAATTAGTGAAAAATTGGGTGTAACTTAATAATTTAAAAGAATTATTTCAATAAATTTTGACATATACTTAATAGACTAGAAGACCAAATAGCCATTTAAAATGTTGATTAAGATTTCAGTATCCAAATTTGACTTGTAAGTTAAATCATGTAAGTTAAAGAAGAAAGCTCCATCATTAAAACTGGCAAGTCTAATATTATTCTTTATTTTTATGTAATATTTTAAAGTTTCAGCAAAACCCTATTCTTTACCTGGTTATTATCAGATGGGTGCTGACTTGCATCAATTTGTCAAGTTCAGGAAGCATTAGCTGTCAGACAGCTGGTGACATGTTCGATATGAGAAATGTATTTTTGTCACACAAGTGGAATATATTGTCTTCTTCTCTAAGCCAAGACTAATATTTTGTTTCCAAAGGAAAACTCAAACATTTTCCACATTATTCTTTCTGGACAGTTGTAGGTTTTGTTCCAAAAGCAACATTCATAGATTCTCTGTTTTTCTTATCAAACTTGAAATAGGCCAGATAGTTTCATGAATCTACTTTGTTTATTTGTTTGTTTAATTTTTAACAAACTTATTGTTTAGTATGAAATTTTATTTAGTATTTATTAGTATTAAATTTTCATTTTGGTATAGTAAATGGTAGCAAAACTAATATTATTATTTTAGAGAGATCTTAATTCAGGCTTTTGTTGAATCTTGGTAGAGACATTTTCCATAAATGTACTAAATTCTAAATTAATTGCTTTTTCCACCTTTTTGTACAAAATGCAAATTCAGACATTCTTCCCGGATTGAATCATTGATTAGACAAAGACTTTGTTTTTAAGTGTTTGTATATTTTTAACAGTTCCATAGGCCCTTTTCAAAGTGATAAAAGAACTAGAATATTTCATATTGATTATAATGTGATGTCACATAATTTTAATATGCATTTAGAAATATAAATGTTCATGTATAGTAATGGTGTAATTAACTGGAGTAAATACCTTATATATTGTACTCAAATCAGAGAAAGAATATATTTTTCTTATGTGTGATGCTTCCAAATTTAATTTAAATTTCTCATAAGATTAAGGTGAACTGACACCCCAATTTCTAGTTTCTTATGTTTAAGAACATGTTATTTAAATCTTTGTTTACTCTCCTAGCTCATTCTTCACACATTTTGCATAAGATTATTTATGTTTACCATCTCATCTACTTTTTGAAATATTTTTCCTACAGTTATGCAGAAGGCATGGAGGGAAAGAAATCCTCCAGCTCGAATCAAAGCAGCCTATCAAGCTTTAGAATTAAACAATGAGTAAGTTTGAAATATATGGAAAGTAAGTTTGTTTTGAAGGAAACTCAGGCAAATGATTTCATGTTCTTATGTCTCTTCCTAAGACACTTGGAGTCATTAGCAATCCCCTTTCTTTTTTTCTATACTAGAGACAAATTTTGCAGTGTTCATAGACATCTGTACTTTGCTTCTGAAATTACAAACTTATCAGTGCTTTTGAATAGAAATTATCCTAGAGATACTTTTTTAAATGGAGAATGTTGATCTAATTGGTGATAATTCTTGATAGTTAAAGAGTACTAAAATACTTCTGCCACCTTTTTAAATTTTGTTTTTCATTTAAATCATTCATTTAAAGCATTCATTCAGTCCTGAGAACTTTAGTTGCTAATGGGATTGGAGGCATGCAAAGAGGATTCAAAATAAGGAAAATGTAGCATTTATTTTTTATAACTCTTTGTATCGATTCTATATTTTGAAAAGGCAAATGTAAAATTATAAGTTAACCTAATATTTAAGTGAAACAGATCAATAAGTATTAATCTGATACTAAATAAATGCCAAGAGTAAAATATGGCCCCAGTTGGGGTTAATCAAGGAATGCTTCCTGAATGATGTGAATTTAGCATTGTCCCCTGTATCCCTCAACAACCCCGCCCCCCAAAATATGCCCCCCAAGGTGGAGCAAAGATCACAGTGTAGGGAACTCAAAAGCAGTGAATCAACTTTACTGAAACTCTGGAAACTAATCAAAAGTTTAAAGCATCCTAGAGAATGCTTAATCAATTAAAAAAACAGCCAAATTTCTGTAAGTGAGCTTTATGGTGTTTTGACTTACACTGGCTCCATCCCCCACTCCCTTGCTTAGTGGCAGCTTTGAAGACAAAAGTCAGCATTCTGGGTATAGGTTCCTACTACCAGAGGAAGTGGAATGGATCTTATTGTTAAAGAATTGCGCTTGTTTATTTTGACCTGTCTGGTTGGCTCTCTGAAGGACCAGCTCAAAGGTCTTGCCTTTATTTGGGTTAATTCAGAGCTCTCCCAGTGCAGACACAGCTACACTGGGGGGACATTTGTTGAAAACATTTAAAGGCAAATGCATTAGTCCCTGCTGCCCTGGGGCAAGTGATAACAGCTGGGGCAAACAATAGACAAACCAGAAAGCTTGAGAGGAAAGGCTGGGGAATGAGATACTTTGGAAAATAAAGGCTTTGAAAAACTCTGACATATTCCTGGGAATCTCAGATGTCCCACACATGCCCAGGTTTGGGCACATGCTTAGAAATTACTTAAGACCCTAAGCTCTGTCTAAATTTCAGGTTCTGCACAAACAGAAAGTAAAGGCTAAGGCAGAGTTGTAAACTGCCTGACTGAATGTTGAAGGTGTGCCCCAACACACACACAGAACCAATCTGCAGACTTGGGTTTTTTTGTTTTGTTTTTGGTTCCAGGTGTTTAAGGCAATCTCTATCAAATCACTGGCTGATGAATAAGCTAAAGGAGCAGAGGCTTCACTGGTCATATATGATAATGACTACAACTTCAGATTAGTTCAGCGAAGTCATTAAACAAATAACTACAACAAACAACAACAACAAGCCATAGGGAAGAGGGGGAAATCTGATTGCTAGAGTTGCTAGATTATAATCTTCAAAATGTGCAGTTTTAAAGAAATTACAAGACATTCAAAGAAACAAACTATGCCTCATACACAGAAAAGAAAGGAAATGAATGGAGACTGTCCTCAAGGAAGTCCTCAAGACTTGGACTTTCCAGACAAAAACTTTAAATCAGGTACTGTAAATATGCTCAAAGAGGTAAAGGAAGCCATGTACAAAGAACAAAAGGAAGTCATGAGAAGGATATCTCACCACTAGAGAATATCAATAAAGATTTAGAAATCTAGAAAGAAATTTAGGAAAGAAGTTTAGAAAGAAATCTAGAAATAAAGATCAAGAAGCTCAGTGAACCTCAAGTAAGATATAATCAAAGAAATCTACAGTGAGACACATTATAATCAAGCTTTCAAAAACCAAGGACAAGGGGAAATTCCTGAAAACAGCAAGAGAGAAGTGATTCATCATGAATGAGGGATCCTCAATAAGATTAACAGCTGAGTTCTCATCAGAAACCATAGAAGCCAGAAGGCAGTGGGATGACAAAGTCAAAATTCTGAAGAAAACTGTCAGCTAAGGATTCTTTTTCTTTTTTCTTTTTTTAAGATTTTATTTATTTAAGAAAGAGCACGCACAAGCATGAGCATGGGAGAGGGGCAGAAGCTGGCTCCCTGCTGAGCAGGGAGCCCAATTCGGGGCTTGATCCTGGAACCCAGGGATCATGACCTGAGCCAAAGGCAGGTGCTTAACTGACTGAGCCACCCAGGTGCCTCCACAGCTAAAGATTCTATATCCAACAAACCTGTTCTTCAAAAATGAAGGAGAAATTTAGACATTCCCAGATAAACAGAAACTGAGAGAGTTCATTGCTAGTAGACCTATATTATAAGAAATGCTAAAAGGAGTTTTTCAAGGTGAAATAAAAGGATACTAGACAGTCTTGACTCCACACAAAGCAATAAAGAACACCAGTAAAGATAATTACATAAGCAAATATAAAAGTTAATGTATTTTGGGTTTGCAACAATTATTTTTTCAATATGATTTAGAAGACAACAATGTAAAACTAATTATAAATCTATATTGATGGACATACAGTTTATAAAAATGTAATTTGTGACAATAACAACATAAGGTATGGGGTGGGGGAAGAGCTATATAGAAGCAAAGTTTTGTATGCTATTGAAACTAAGTTGGTATTAACTGAAACTACATTGCTGTAAATTAAGATGTTAAAAGTAATTGTTAATTATTAACCACTAAGAAATAACTAAAAAAAATATAGTAAAAGAAGCTAGAAGGGAATCAAAATGGTATACTAGAAAATACCTAACACAATTACTGCCAGAAATAAGGACAAAAAAGGATATATAGAAAACAAATAGGAAAATAGCAGAAACAAGTCCTTCCTTATCATTAATTACTTAAATGTAAATGGATTAAACTCTGCAGTTAAAGGCATTGATTGGCAGAATGGATTTAAAAAACAGTTCAGCTATATGCTGTCTATAAGAGATTCATTTTAGATACAAAGATACAAAGAAGTAGAAGGTAAAAGTATGGAAAAAGATATTCCATGCAAATAGTAACCAAAAGAGAGATGCAGTGGCTATCCTATATCAGACAAAATAGACTTCAAGACAAAAAAAAATTTTTTAATTATTTGAGAGAGAGAGAGCAAGCAAGGGGAGGAAAAGAGGGAGAGGGACAAGCAGACTCTGTGCTGAGCATGGAGCCCAACACAGGACTCGATCCGAAACCCTGAGATCATGACCTGAGCTGAAATCAAGAGCCAGATGCTCAACCAGCTGAGCCACCCAGGCGCTCCAACAAAATTTTTATAAGATAATTACATTATATAATGATAAAAGAGGTTTAATTCATCAAGAAGATACAACAATTATAAACTTATATGCATTTAATAACAGAGACCCAAAATATATGAAGCAAAAACTGACAGAATTGAAGGGAGGAATAGACAGTTGTTGGAAGCTTCAACACCATTTCAATAATGGATAGAATAATTAGACAAAAGATACACAATGAAATGAAAGACTTGAACAACACTATAAACTAACTAGACCTAACAGACATCCATATAGTGCTCTATCCAACAATAGTAGAGTACATGTTCTTCTCAAGTGTACATGGAACATTCTCTAGGATATATCATATGTTATGATATAAAGAATTCTCAATAAATTCCAAAAGATTGAAATTATACAAAGTACTTCAACCACAGTGGAATAAAATTAGAAATCAAAAACACAAGGAGATCTGGAAATTTCACAATATTGGGATATGTGGAAGTTAGGCAAGAGTCTTAAACAACCAGTGAGTCAAAGAAGAAATCACAAAGAAAAGATAGAAAATACTTTGGGATGGATGAGTGAAAATGAAAGCACAACATACCAAAACTTAAGAGATACAGAGAAAGTGGAAACTGTAAACACAATACTAAAGAAAAACAGATCTCAAATCAATAACTTAAACTTTATACTGTAAGAAACTAGAAAATGAAGAGCCAACTAAACTACAAGCAGAAGGAAGGCAGTAACAAAGAATAGAGTGAGATAAACAAAATAGAGAATAGAAAAGCAATAGAATCAATGAAACCAAAGGTTGGTTTTTTAAAAGATCAACAAAATTGGGGCACCTGGGTGACTCAGTCAGTTAGGCGTCTGCCTTTGGCTCAGGTTATGCTCCCAGGGTCCTGGGACCAAGACCTGTGTCGCACTCCCAACTCAGTGGAAAACCTGCTTCTCCTTCTCCCTCCGCTGCTCCTCCTTCTTGTGTGCTCTTTCTCTCCCTCTGTCAAATAAATAAATAAAATCTTAAAAAAATAAAGATCAACAAAATTGACAAACTTTTAGCTAGACTGACCAATTAAAAAAGAAGACTCAGATTACTGAAATTAAGAATGAAACTGGGAACATTACTACTTACCTTACAGAAATTAAAAGCTGAATACAGTGAACAATTACATGTTTATAAATTAGATAAATGGACAAATTTCTAACAACACACTACCAAAATTGATTCAAGAAATAGAAAATCTGAGTAGACCTATAACGAGTGAAGATGATGGAATCAGTAATTTAAAAACTTCCAAACAAAGAAAACCCAGGACTAGATCCCTTCTCTGGCAAGTGCTACCAAGAACTAGAAGAAGAATAAACACCAGTCCTTCTTAAACTCTTCAAAGAAATAGAAGGGAAGTAACTCTTCCTGACTCATCCTGTGAAGCCAATATTACCCTCATACCAAAACCAGACAAAGACATCACAAGAAACAAAAATTATAGACTAATATCCATTATGAATATAGATGCAAAAATCCTCAACAAAATACCTAGCACAGCAAATCCAGCAGCATATTAGAAGAATTATACACAAGGAACAAGTG